ACGCTAGAGTAGACTCGCGAAAAGTGTATAAGACACTTTTAAGATCAACTAAATAGCTAAGCCCAAGGGAAGTCGTTCGGGGAGGCCCTCCCTAATTCCACAAGGGTGAGAAGAAACACACACGATAACGAAACGTTGAATCATGTAGAACTCGTAGGGTAAATGCAAAGCAAATTAGGAAGAATATGCAGTAAGCTAAGCGAAGAGGTAAGCAAGGTTAGACTATACTACAACTACTAAACGTGTTATTTCTACTACTACACTATTACTACATAAAAAAAAATAAAAACGTCTACAATCAACAATTACTTCAAATAAAATAAACTACAAAAACCATGCAAAATAAAAAATTAATTTAATTGTGTCTAATAGAACATGCAAGATATAGAAGTATTTTAACTACGGGATCTTCTTTGTCTTCTCCCTCGTCGATCTGAAACAGATACGGTGGTAACAGATTAATAAAGAGCAATTGAAATTAAATATATCAAACATTCTCACCTTAATTAACTGTAAATTGTAACGTTCCAAAGTTTGCAGTTGTGGAAAGCAAATGAAATCCAAGAGGAATCTATAGCAGCAAATTTATCTTTTTGATAGAGTTCAAATACATCTCTAGTTGCTCTCTCATCCTTTGAGAATTAACTGCATAATGTTGCAAGGTGGAGGCGAAAACTGCAAATCAAGAACAAACTCCAGGAAAACACCACCCATGTAGACATCAGTTGTTCAGAATGGCCAAATTGATCTTTAATTCTCTTTCACTTATTGGAAAATCTGCAGAAATGGGCAAAAAAACGTATTATTTATGGATTAATTACACTCCTATATAAGTAAGAGAAGAAATACAATAAAAACCCGCACCAATAAACAACTAAAATACCTGAATTACAAAATGACACTTTGACCATAGATTTTGACAAATGTGAAACAATCATAGATACACCAAAACATTAATTTATGCGGTCGACTATAGATCTTTGTTAAAAAAAGAAAGCAAATACCAATAGATGAACGATAACATTTATTTACGGTGTGAACAACAGATAAATGTTAAGTGATACCTTAGATGCAGGAAAGCGCCAGCTTGTTCTGTAAACAATAGATAATGGTTAAATGAGATGCCATAGACGTAGAAGAATGCAATGCACTAGAACTTTCACAAGCACCAGGTATGTTATTTAATTTTAATATTAAATCCAACAATCAGTAATGATCTTTTTTACATTTATGACTGACAGTACTGATACGGCGTGAATGTAGACACTTTTGCCAGGAGAAAACTGTAGAGAAAAAGCAAACGAAAATAATGTAAAAGAAAAATATCTTATATGCAACCATACACTCACTACTGTAAATTCGGTTGCATTTAAAACAAGTTTTCGGGTTAACAGGTATTGCATCAATGTGGTAATGTGGGCATACAATAGCTGATAGGTTTTAATAGATCATTTTTAATTGATTTATTAACATTTAATACTAACTTTATACTGGATAATTGTTACCCCTTACAAGGCGAAATACTTATCAAGTTTCTTTCAATTTAATTGAAAAATAATTGATACACATTATATCCTGAACCATTAATAAGCAAAATAAACATCTCCTATGAACATAAATTAAACATTTAATATCAAATTGTTTTCCTCTTTTCCTTAATTTTATGTTTTTCATGTAGAATATTCAACACTCGAATACAATAATGAGTTCAAGATGTGAAAACAAGACCATATCATACAATTTTAAAAATTCAAGTACAAAAGTACCTTACATGTGAACAATAATGAAAGAACTTACCTTTACGACTGGTGCTATTCAATTTGTTACACTTTAGTAACATATATTAGGTTGTCTGTTCCCAAAGGAAAATCACTAATTCTTCCTTCAAGTGTTGTCACGTTCTGGAAGAAAGGCGGCCACTGCAACAATCTTCACATATAGACAAGTTATCAGATTGTGAAAACAATATGTTAAAAATTAAATAGTTCTGAAGGACACAAGTTTTTGTTACAAATTAACAACTGAACAAATTTATAATTTATATAATACATAATGTATCTTCAAATTCTTTTTAAGTCACTTACTAGAATTAAAAATGATGTGAAATGGAATGAATAACAATAAATGGACGGAATGTGAACACCAAATAAAATATAAATACACAATTTACAATAATGATTACGAATGTCGCTTTGACGCATTATCTATGATTTGCTTTTGTGGCCATAGATAAATCTACTATAGATAATTGTGAAAGGAAAGCCATAGATGCACAATGCACAACTGATATTTTTCTGATCAAAGTGATATGTTGTAATTTTATTTTGAGCACTTTTAATTCTAAAAAAAATTAATTGCGCATGTGCCAGCACATCATTTTGATAAGAATATATCAAAATTAATAAATGACAACACATTTAGTTAACTAATCTAATCTATAAATAAGACAAGAAATAGAGCATAAGGTCTCTTACCAATAAAAACAAAATCATTTTTAAACTTTTTATTTGAATACAATGAACATACTATAATATTAACATGAACATTTTATGACATCAATTAATTTCAACATTATTTCTAAGTGCAGATTTTTCTAATTTTTGTCGATAATAAACGCAAGTCGTATACTTTTTTGATTTTTGAATTATTATGGCGAAATAAACATCGACAATCTTTTTTTAATCTTTTCACCATTAATTAATTAATTCGTTGTTTGAAAAAAGAACTTCAATATTTTTTTTATTATTGGTTGCTTCCCTTATAAATATTTAACGTAACAGAAAAAGACACTTTTAATAACAATAGTATAAAAATCAATTATATAATAACAAATCGCTGTTGATATTGTTTGTTATTAAAAAAATAGTAAGGAGGAAACAAAAAACAAATTTCGCACTTACCCTATCGTCTGTCCTTACCCCTTAGAAATACAACCCTTATGCTCTTTACAGTAGAAGTAGTAGTAGTAGTAGTACAATAGTAGTAGTTAGCAATAGTAGTAAAAATTGTGAGTTGTGATCACAATTTTTTCTAAAATTTAATAGTAGTTTTATTTACAAATTGACTATTTTATTTCTTTCTTAAGTTTTAATTCCTTTTTCAGTACGAAAATTATCACAGTTAATACATTACGTGTTAAATAACGAAAATTAATAGTATGTAATAATTCAAATTATTTTCAGTTCCCTAATTCACTGCATTTCTATTTAATTCTTATTAGTAATTAAATATATTTACAGTAATAATTGTGTACTATTATTTGATGAATTGCTTTGAATACAGTTAGGTCCTGAGTTTACAAAAAATATTCTAAAATACTGTATATAAACTGCTATTTATTTCTGTTGCCATTTCGTCAGGAGATTGTTCATTTTATTGGTGGTTGGATGGTGGATGTGAGTGGTGGTTTTGCGAGATAATTCTGTACAAAGCGTGGTAGATAGTCCTTTTTTCTGTTTTCATTCTATTTTTAAGTGAATTCGGGAACTGTCTGAAGGCAGCATATTTTATCTCATAAATCACCTTTCCATTAAATAAGTAGTTATTGCTATTGTTAACAAGTAAAGTAGTAAAATGAAATAAAAAGAAAACAAAAAATTCATAACTGTCTCAGGCTGTTTGTACCAATTGCAAAAAAAATTCTGAAACGTTAATTATACTAAATACGAAGACTGCACACAAGTGTTCAGTTTGCTGTAACTTCTTACAGTAAGGTCCATTTTTTTCTGCAACGAGTTACGTTCAACAGCTTTAAGGGTAGTTATCCTGCTTTAAACTTATTAATCGTTTAAAAAGAACTTCTACAATTTAATTTTGTCGTTAAAATAGAATAAACTACCAACAAGAAAAAAGAGAAAAACAGTTTGGGTACTTTGAGCATTTTTTTTGTAAATGGCACAAACTGGCAATGAAGAAAAGAAAATAAAAAAAAAAAAGAAAAAAAATGAAAATAATTTTTATTGTGAATGTCGATAACAAAAACCTTTTTCCTATAATATTTACAAACATATTTCTTTCTCTTTTAAACAAATCACAAGAAGCACATTTGCNAAAATTAAATAATACGTACACAAAAAATTGCCATTAATTGTTCTTTACTTACTTGTTTTTCCTTTTGCTTGTAGTATAATTATATAATATCGACAATAATAAAAGGTTTCGTTCCTTCCGTTTTCAATTTAATTTAATAATTAGGTAGTCAATTAAAGCTCGACGATCGATAATACGTACACAAAAAATTGCCATTAATTGTTCTTTACTTACTTGTTTTTCCTTTTGCTTGTAGTATAATTATATAATATCGACAATAATAAAAGGTTTCGTTCCTTCCGTTTTCAATTTAATTTAATAATTAGGTAGTCAATTAAAGCTCGACGATCGATATTAATTAATTATTATGTGAGTGGATAGAAGTTTTCGTATTTTCTTGTACGCGACTGTGTGTGTGGCGAGAGTGATCTCTTAACAAATTTTAATCTTTCACTGGATTTTAAGCCTATGCTAGTAATAAAAACATCCGAAACCAAAAAAAAAAACCAAAATGAATCAGTAATAATAGCTAAAGAAAAACGAACGAAATTAATTTTAAAACAGGTGAATATTTGCTGATAATATTATCGACTATCTAATAACGTAATGGTGGTGGGTGGTTCCTCACGTTGCAAATTGAGCCTAAACTTTTTAAAATTAAATCACAATGCTTATGAGTACATCGTACGTAATAATTAATCAATTAATTAATTATTAGTAGTAAANAAAATAAATACAAAAAAAAAGGACAAAATAAACATTGAGCTTCGTTATTTTTTCCGTAAACGTGTCATTAATTGTTTTTTCTTCTGCTCAATTGAAAAAAAGGCGATTTTTAATTAAGATTGCAAAAATAACTAGAATAATAAAAAACACGACGAAAAAATTGTAACAGACACGCTTATGGAAATTGCGATATCTAAATTTGTACCTTGGTACACAAAAAGTGACGTGTTGTTAACAAAAAGGGGGACCGTCATGCGATAACGAAAAAAATTAAAACGAAACCCTAAAAAGAAAAAAACAAATCAAAAACTACTCCTTCTTCGATTTATTATTTGTAATAGCATTTAAAAAATAAAGATATATTTATTCTTACGCAATAAGGATGCAGTCGTCCCCCTTTCTGTTATTTCGAAACAATCGTCCTAGGGCGGTTTTAAAACGCACAGGGTAATCGTTAATAGCCCAGTAATAACTGAGAAGCGTTAAAAGTTGGAAAGACAATAATAATAATAATAATGAGATAGTTAATTGATTGATTAAAAATGAACTCGGTATTTCAAAAAAGAAAAAACTGACGGAAATTAAATAATAAATAATTAATTACTAAAATTATTTAAGTTAATCGCCTTCAATTAAAAAATATTACCGTTAGTTTCGATTCAGTTACATAATAATTAAACACCTAATTTGAATAAAAAAGAGCAACTAATACTGCCCGCAGTATAGTTAACCGTTCCAAAATTAAAAAAAAAAAAAACAACGAAGTTAAAGGATAATAACACCCCGTACCTTTCAATATCCGCCCTATATCCTTCTCCATTATTACCACATCTCCCACTCCTTCTTCTTCAAATCCCATCTCCCATCATAAACAACGAATCCATGTGTTGTACATCGATAAAAACTTTTTTTACACGTATTTAAAACGACGACGAAATTTTATTTATCCTTTAAACCACCTAAAATGGAATGTTCCATCAGACTTGAGTTAGGCTGGTGCGCGTAGTTCCTGATGTGGTGCAACGAAATGAGCTGGTTCGGGAACCCGTTCGATGCCTGGGACTTCTGGAGGTCCAGAGAATTCTGCTTTTGGAAGCTGATCGCGTCGTAAAGGTAGGGCCTGTTCGGCGCCAACTGCTGATTGAGATTTAGATGACCGGACATGGAACTGATGGGGGTGAAGGCCGAATTCGCATTCGATTTCGTTATGGTCGTGTCGTAGTTCATTGCACTGGGGGTGCTGGGTGGCGCGGGAGGGTTCTGACCCAGCTGCTGTCGAATTATCACCAGGTCTTCGTTCTGCTCCAGAATTTGGCGTGGAATGTCGTTGGGATAGTCGTGCATATTCTCGGCACTGTCCGGACTCACCTTTGGCCAATACGGATGATCCAGACTTCGATGATTTAGTCCTGAACAAAAAGAAATGATTAATTTTTATTAATCTATCCATATATATAAAAATGAGTTGTTGTTCGTGAGACACGCTAAAACTCGATAACGGCTGGACCGATTTGGCTAATTTTGGTCTTGAATTATTTGTGGAAGTCCAGGGAAGGTTTAAAACGTGAATAAATACGGAAGTTGTTAAATATCTTTCAGATTATTTTTATGTAGATTGATAAATCTTAAGTTTTGTCAAATTAAATTTCTGAACGCAACTATACATAATATTTGACATTTGTCAACGAAGTTTATTTTATACAAAAATTTAGGTCTTTTATATATCGATTGGGGCAGTACGAAGTCTGCTGGGACAGCTAGTTTTTAATAAATATAATTACGTTGTTCGTAAGTTCTCGATCAGTAGTTTATTGAAACCGCCAGAGCTTAATAATTATCACCAAATCGAAATTATAATTTTACCACTAGATGGCAGTATACTGCCTATGTTCTGATATTATGTAATTTTGTTTCTTGGGAAAGAAATCTTCCAACTGGGAAGTACAGAACTGAACCAAGCTGAGATTATTCAAAAACCATTGAATCATTCCATCCTAACGAAAGTAGATAAAGGGATTCTTACCTAGTCCAGGACCTATTGGAGGCCTCTTGTCAGTCCTTTCTGCATGCTTTTGCATGTGTTTTTGCAGATAGGTTTCTTGAGTATAGCTTTTCCCGCAATATTGACAAATGTGCGTCTTCAAGTGTTTACTTTCCTTGTGCTTGGGAATGTGCTCGAGTAGGGAGGGCTCGTCGCTGAAGCATTTGTAACATGAGTTGCACTTGTACGGTTTGTCCGTCTGATGGCAGCGGGAATGGGATTGAAGGTTGCTGAGCTGGGAGAAAGCCTTCTGACAACCTGGATGCCGACATCTTGTAGCAGAAAAAAAAATAATTTTACTAAATTTTTCGATTGCTGTTAAGAAAAATTGATAACAAAAATGATTTTTAAGTTGTCAGCCGAATTTTATTACATAACACCACTTCATCCACTTAAATCATGTGATGAGATTACGTATAGAACTGATGCCTATCTAAATTATTTTATCATACATGAAAAAAATAATCTTTAAATTTTTTGATTTTTACTTTTTTATTCTATGTAAATTTCGATAAGAAATTTAAGGATTGTTCGCTTTGTTGTCAAGTGGAAATACAAAAAAAAAATAATCAATCTTTTCATAAAGATACCTAATGAAGAAAATTGTAACTTACTTATACGGTTTGTCCCCCGTATGCGTTCGGATGTGTTGCTGAAGGTGAGATAGTTGGGTAAATTTTCGTTGACATATTTCGCACCTGTAGGGTTTGATACCGAGATGTATCCTGGTGTGCTGTGACAAGTAGGAACTATTTGCAAAGGCTTTACAGCACTGGGAACACTTGTAAGGTTTGGCTTCACGCATATGTGCCTGCGTGTGCAATTGAAGTTCAGCTTTGGACCCAAAAACCTGACAAAATATTAAAAATTACCCTCAGTAACAGTAAATTTTTGTATTGCGTTGCATTTTTGTACAATTCTATTTGTAACGAACCTCGTATATCAATTTTTGGATACATACAGTTGAAAGTTGCATGTACGGGGGTAAATCGAAAAGAAAAAGAAATTAAGTTCTTAAAAAACATGTTTGTAATGAACTAACTCTCGTTAAAATGATTATATTTTCCTCAAAATACGTCTAATAATTAAAATTTTTAAAAAGAACTACAGCAGCATAACTCGCATTCTATTTTCGTCTATATTTACATTTTTCCAATACTTTGTTGTTATATGCAAATGCAAATAACACTGACCCGTTATAATAAGCCTGTTTGTCTTTCCAATTACATCATCTGCTTATATTAGTGCGTCTACTTGAATTTTATTNACAGCAGCATAACTCGCATTCTATTTTCGTCTATATTTACATTTTTCCAATACTTTGTTGTTATATGCAAATGCAAATAACACTGACCCGTTATAATAAGCCTGTTTGTCTTTCCAATTACATCATCTGCTTATATTAGTGCGTCTACTTGAATTTTATTCATTTTATTGTAATTCCGAAAAAAAATGATGACAAAAAACAGTGCATCCTGTATCTACAATAAATTAACAGAATTTTTCCAAAAAAAGGAATAAAATCACTATAATTATTTACATACACTGCTTATTGGAGAAAGAAAATTAATTTATAGCACTTTTTAATTATTTCACATAATACATTCGGTTGTACGTATTATTATTGGTTTAATTATTTTCTTGAGCCATTTTGTAATCAATAATTCGCTAATTATTATTTATTCAGTTTAATCGGGCTTTTGGATCTATTAATCGTTAAAAAATAAATTAAACGAACTACATTATATATAAAATTGATTAAACAACTTTCTGTTGGATAGTTTAATAACAAACAGCCCTTTTCAAGGTTTTGCGTTGAAAAGGGGTAGGTAACGAATTTTTTTTTGGAAACTTCTAAAAGATTTTGGACGCGAAAAGTTTCCCTAAATGTTACTTATGAGGTGTCTTTAGACAGATTTAAAAAGATACAATAATAATACGCTAATATCTGTGGTTCTAGCGGAGGTATCGGTTTGTAATGGTAATTTGACGATTATCTCCTTTGAGGGTGCGACCTTCTAGAATTAGACGTCAAAGTAAAGGGTAGAATTAACTAATGCGTATATTTTCAATATCGCGGATGTTGTTTTTTAATCGAAATCTTTAGTTAAAAGTTACGAATTTTTTGACGTATTGAGCATGTTCAAATGTCAATATTCGGTCATAGATACAACATGGCAATCGCTGTGGCTAAACACCAGCCGACGGAATCATTAGCTTAGGAATAATTTGGACGAGTTCTAACAGTGTTGAAAGAATCAGGTATAAGTCTAGTTTTCGAAATGTGTTTGGAATAAAAAAAATTCTGCAATTTTATCCACAACCAGTTACAAATATAAAACATTTATCCCTTAGTCAGTCGATTTTGCACATTAAAAAAAATCTTCGCTTGTATTAATCGGCAGCCTCGGTGTTTTCGATGTTGTAATTACAAGATTTCTTTCACATCTCGAGAAACACTAGAGACTAGAGTCATGTTGACCNTTAATTCCCTATTGGTCCCCCAAAAATGTTCAAAATTAATTTATTTACGTTCTGCGTTCGTGTTTGGGTCACAGAAATTCATATGCGTAGATTTCGAGCGAATTGACTGTGATACATGGACAGACAGACGCCCGAGTGATCTTATAAGGGTTCCGTTTGTAATTAGGACGTACGGAACCCTAAAAATGTCGACAAAGGAATGTGTAATTTCTATACTCGCTAAACATTTTGCCTTACGTGTAGTTCTTAAAACCCTTTTAACCTACAATAACTCATACAGCTTTTAATCGATTTCAAACAATGAGGAGGTTCTCAATTCTGTCTGGGTTTTTTTTTGCAACTTGTAATTTAGACTGATAATTATATATGCACAAGTGTTATCTACAATTAAATTTTTTGACTGATAATTTTTTTGAACTTTGAAGTACGTATTAATTTATGCTTTGAAAAAGAAAAAATTAGAATCAGATAAATGCTGTTACAGCTCCATCTATTACGTAATTGATATATTTCAGTTAGGGGTGAGACGACATAAAAACAGCTTTCCCGTTTCTATCTTTGTTACATTCTACCCTTTATTCGTTACTGTATTTTTGGGTAGATGTCTCACCATGTACATTCTTAAGAATTATCCGTTTACGTGTAATCGAATTAAAAGTCTTAGTTTTATAAATATCTGTACAAAAAGTCGAACCAAATGAAGTAACATCGCCTATTTTAGATAACGCTATTTTCCAAGTGGATTTCATGATAATGAAATTTTTTCGTTATGAGTGAAGAACTATCTATATTACTTCCCACAACCAGTTACAAATATAAAACATTTATCCCTTAGTCAGTCGATTTTGCACATTAAAAAAAATCTTCGCTTGTATTAATCGGCAGCCTCGGTGTTTTCGATGTTGTAATTACAAGATTTCTTTCACATCTCGAGAAACACTAGAGACTAGAGTCATGTTGACCTTCGAAAATTCAATAGCGAGGTCGTCTATGTGCGCGAATAACACCTACAAGTTCGCATAGATAATTACGCTGAAAAGTCCGTATATAATACAACGCACACACACGTTTACATCTTACTGGCATTACAGTAACTATTTACACATGTATATATAATGTATTATTATAACACTTTAATAAACGTTTCTGGCGAAAAAACCGAGACCTATACACACTGACGTTCGCACGAGCGCCCGCACACACAATTATACGGATACGTACATGTATGCATACCTTGTGTATATGTACTATTATTAATAATAATAGCACACCTGTGCTAAAATGCAAGTTTCACGTGTGCGAAATGAATAGTTTTCATCGGTTATAGTACTTCCGCAATTTTTAAATTAACTTTTATACACGTAATCAATTTAACGACACCATATTATTCTATAAAAAACTGTTTTTAATGTTTCCACCAAACGTGGGGCAAATTAGAAGAGGCGCTTGCGAAAGAAATAGAGAACATTGGATTTTCTGTGATTTATTGTAAAATGAAGCTATTCTAAGTATATTTCAAGTCTAATGATGTATCTAACACGAATTTTCGTAATTATTAAAGTTTTACTGCCTTTTGGCTTTATGCAAAAAAATCTTTTCAAACTTAAAGTTAATAAAATGATACTTAGATTAATACATAATAAGGCAAACGCGATTAACCGAACTTTCCATTTTGTCCACTCAAACTTTATGAGTTTTAAATAAAATAACAACCCATGTTACGTCGCCACTGATTCGACCCCTAATTCAGAGGGTTCGAACTAGAACATTCGCTGTCAATTTTTTTGTTTCGACCGCCATTTTGGATCTTTTTTTCTAATGAAACAAATGGTATTTAAAAAAAAATCATTAGATATAGATAAGAACAAATATACCTTACTATTATCTGTTGTTGAGATAATTTTTTACTGGTGACATACCTATAGATAGACGAAAGGACCCAGGAAGTTAATAATAAGAATTTTTATCTTTCTTGATGTACTTAGAACTTTAAAAATTAACAGAAAACCACAAAAACGAATTTCGTCTCTGCCTAAATACATACCTACAATAAATACGTGCATGATACAATAATCATTTTGGATTTTTTATTGATTTGCAAAGTGTTTGGAACTTCGTGAATGTAAAACTGTTACAACAAACAGAGTAGGTACATATTTCCATAGGTAAACCCATGCTTTGTTCAACAAGGTCAAATAAAATAAATGTAAAAGTTTCTGATACATAATAAATAAAAGTATAATAGCACACTGCATTATATAACTACGACCCTGTTGGAACAATTTTTTCTCTTGTCGAGTAGTTTGCGTTAAAAACGTCGGTTCTTTTGTTAGAGGTAGGTGAAAATATTCACACATGGAAATTATCGGTAATTTTTTTTAAACAAATAGGCGTTTTATCTTCAAATTAGGTTGAAGTAAGGCTGTAAGGCTTTCTTATTAAAGAGCCTGTTTTAATCGATTTTTCTGTCATTTATTTAAATGTGCATTTTCAATTAAGTGAAGAAAATTTAATTATCGCTCAAAAGTTTCTTTTAGTTCATATAGGTCAGTTGGCAATTTTATGGTTTTGTGAGCAAATAGAAGGCTTGTAACCTAGCTTTTCTGTAGGAGGAACCTAACATTTATCATAAAATTTGGTAACAAGTATTAATTTTCTATTAACCGAAGAACACGAATTATACAAATAAATTATCAGCATTTGAACACATTCATAAGAAAAAAATACCGCTCAGTTTTAGAACGCTAAGTTCATTTTTTTTTTCCGCGGCACTTCTATGGTAGGGCGGGCTAGTGATCTTCGGGGAATCCCCGCCGCTATTTTCGAAGGACATTCATACGCTACTCTAGAGTCAAATGAGTACTAAATTTTTACAAAGCACTTCTATGGTAGGGCGGGCTAGTGATCTTCGGGGAATCCCCGCCGCTATTTTCGAAGCCCCATCCGATTAAGGGCTTTACGTGATGCAGTTACGCCACCAGTTCCTTCCGTGGTGATTATGATATTATTTACTATCCCTCTCGACCAGAAAGTGTAATAATGTTCAATAATGTACGCACCCGTATAGCTATGACCTTGGTTAGGTACATTTTTTTGACTAGAAATCACTTACTGACATAAGAGCAATAAAAAATTTGTAAATTTCGCACGTGTACTGATAACTTATTGTTTATGCACTCGAGATAGTAAGAACTAATCAAAGATAACGTATCGTTACTATCATGCTTATGCAACCCACAATTAAAACGAATACTGTTTAAACCGAATCTTTCTATCTATTTATAGTAACGGATGTCAATATATAAAAAAAAATCGGAAAAAAACTATAAATTAATTAAGTACAGTCGAACTTTGTTATAACAGCAT